AAAAACATCGTTAAGTGAAGCAGGGGACCTAAAACAAAAAACGTTAAGCGAAGCATGGTCCCAAAAACGCTATGCGAAAATCGCCCATAGGGAAAAACGTTATACGAAGCACAATCTGACTGAAAAAATAAACGTTAAGCGAAAAAAACGTTAAACGAAGCAAACGTTATGCGAGGCACCACTGTATTTGCCTTCATCCACTCCATTATTGATGCCAGACATTGTTCTAGAACAGAAACAGCTTCCTTGGATTTAGATGGCAAGAAGAGACAGAGCTCAGTGTCATCCGCATACTGGTGACATGGAACCCCAAAACTTTGGACATGCTCTCCCAGTGCTTTCATGTAGATATTAAATAGCACAGGGGACAAAAAAAGAACCTTGAGGGACACCACAGACCAATGGCCAGGGTTCCCCTGGCACTACCCTCTTGCTATACAGCAGCAAATATAGATGCTTTACATCTGTGCCTAACTCAATACTGGTTTCAATCTCCTTCATTGCCTAGGAACACTGTTTCTCAGTGAATCAAATAAGAAGCATCTGTCTATTCTTACCACAGTCAGAGAAAAAAACCCTGATAACTCTTTGTGAAAGAATCTGAAGCTCGGAATAGGATCACCCAATGGTAACTCTGGGAGGGTAGAATAACTTTTATTGAGAGTTTTGGTTTTACCTCTGACTTTTTTTAATTATGAGGAATTGATGACTATTTTATTTCCTGAAATGTTACTATGTAGGATAGTTCAGACAGCATTTTTAAATAACATTGGTGTTCTGTTCTGATATAACTGCCCCACATATACATACATACATACATACATACATACATACATACATACATACACACACACACACACACACAACACACACACACACACACACACACACACACACACACACACACACACACACACACACACACACACACACACACACACACATACATACATAACAAAACAAGTATCAGTCTGTTGTAACAAAAACAATAGAATCAAATGGAGTCTCAAGAAACCTGACATCTGGAGATAATTATATATTATATAATCTCAGATATTTAGAGTGAATTTTTGTGGACTGGATTCTACTTCATCAGATCCAATGGGGACCCTCATCAGCAATAATTACTGTACTACACTACAGTGGACCCTCGACTCACAGAATTAATCCGTATTGGAACGGTGGCTGCAGGTCGAAAAGTCTGTAGGTCGAGGTTCCATTGACCTACAATGCACTGAAAACTGATTAATCTGTAACCGGCTATTTTTTGTTCCATTTTTTTTCCCGGTCTGTAGGTCGATTCTCCAGCTGCAAGTTGAACCTAAATTTTGTGGCCAGAGAAGTCTGTAACTCAAAAAGTCTGTAAGTCGAGCCGTCTGTAAGTCGAGGGTCCACTGTATATGAAAACACATGAATTACTGTACATTTAAATTTGTCTGGATTCCAAGTTCATAGTGTCCCTATGGCAAGAAAAATAAACATGATTTAGGAGATGTTTTTGTGCTTCTGCGTTCTCCCCTAAAGTTAAAATACTGAATACCCCAATGTAGCCCACACTGCCTCTCTTTAAAGAATCTAATCTGTCTGGGTAGATGCAAAGCATCTATCTCCTCCACCCCAAAACTTTGTGAGGAAATTGTACATTGAAGAGGACAGAACAACTCCCCACTGAATCAAGCCAGGTGCATGTCTCCCTCTCATCAATGGGAAAGTACATGGGAAAATAGAAGAGTCTGCTCTGTGTATGCCCATGGGCAGAAATTCCCAGAAGAAATAGGAAGACAGGGCAGAGTTTGTGTGAACTGGCAACCATACAAAGACAGAGCAATCAAGTGGCTAATGGAGTAATATGGAGTCCCTCTTTATGTCCTACAATGGCAATATATTTCCATTAAATCATAACAGCTGGAATACAATTTGGAAGGCATCTCAGTCAATTCCTTCCTTAAAACAAGCTCTGTAAAGCAGGATAAATTACGACATTGGTGAGCAACTTTAGTGGGTGCAAGGGCCAACTCTTCCCCTGACCAACAGTAGCTACACCATCCCCTCTTAATAAAACTGGATGTTGCCAGAAGTTTATGTCTGGTTTGATCCCACCCTTTTCACCATTAAAAAAAGGCAAATAAAACAAATACACATGGTTCTCCTTAGCTTTAAGAAGAAATGAACTTCTCTTAAGGAGATATTTAACAAACAAACAAAAAATTTTTATGGGTGACAACAGGCTCAGTGGGCTGCAAAATGGGTGCTGGTCACTTGTACCCTGTGTGCCATGTACAGTCTACCTCTGAACTGCAGCATCCTTGACCCTTGGTTATTTAGTCTTCGCTTAACTATCTTCAATTTTAAGTTTTGGGTTATTTTTTAAAAACATATTATCTCCAGATTTCAGGTTTCTTAAATGCTATGTGGACGGGAAGAGGGGCTGTATCTCTACTGTTTTTTAAACATTATCCTGGAATGCTCTTACATATTTTAGCACTCTTTAAACAGCATTTGCAGAAGAGGTTGTATAAAGAGAAAAGGGTTGGTGATTAATCACCTTCCCTT